CCTGTGTGATAGGTGGTGTCATGAATAGGGAGCACAAGACAAGGTAAGACTGAAGAGTTAAGAGTAAGCGTTTATTCAACAGGATGAAGGCAGTACCATTTACTTAGAGGTAGCAGCACAATGGGGGAGAAAACACAGGTTCAGGCTGTAAATATACTTTTAGGCTTGAGAATCCTATGAGGCATCCAAGGGGGTGTTAAGTAGGTAGCATGTTAAGTAGGATCTGCTACTTCTGAGGTTGATGCTTTGCCTCTCTTATTTATGTTGTACCAGATGTCACCTCCCCACTAACAAAATCTGTCCATGACTCAGTCCAGTAGCAGCAGCAGCTGCTACTGAATAGAATTATTAATTGCCAACTTCAAATCTTTAGTTTCTTAGTTTTAATTACATTATGAACTATGCCAAGGAGTTAGATGGGCCTAAGATTTTAATGAGAAAACACTGTCTCCCTGGTAGTATCAGCAATATCCAAAGTAAAGGTACTTCAAAAATTTTTTTTTATTGATTTCAGAGAAGAAGGGAGAAGGAGTGATACAAACATCAATGATGATAAAAAATCATCAATCGGCTGCCTCCTGCATGCCCCCTACTGGGGACCAAGCACACACCCGGGCATGTGCCCTGACTGGGAATCAAACCATGACCTGGTTCATGGGTCACCGCTCAACCATTGAACACCAACCGGGCCAAAGTAAAGGTACTTAAAGAGAACAGTACAAACTCAGAAGCAAAGAATTGCAGACCCTAGTAGAGCCAGCAATTCCAACTTAGAAAACCTCCATCTATTTTAACCCAAAAAGGCAGTAAACAGTATCTGTCAAGGAAATTTTAGCTCACTAGTCAGTGAACTGACACCTCAGCTTCAGGATCCTTGTCAAATTATTCTACCTTCCCAAGAACAGAATCAAAATCTTTTTCACTTTTTAAAAAACACTGATTTGAGGCCCTAGCCAGTTTGGCTCAACCGATAGAGCATCAGCCTGTGGAATAAATGGTTCTGGGTTTGATTCTGGCCAGGGTTCGATTCTTGCCAGCGGCACATGCCCAGGTTTCAGGCTTGGTCCCCAGTAGGGGGCGTGCAGGAGGCAGCCAATCAATGACTCTCATCATTGATGTTTCTATCTCTCTGCCTCTCCCTTCCTCTCTGAAATAAATTAAAATACATTAAAAAATATATATATATGTATATTAAATTTGATTTGAGAGAGAGGAAAGGGGGAAAGAGAGGCAGGGAAAAAGAGAGAGAAATATTGATTTGTTGTTCTACTTATTTATGCATTCATTGGTTGATTCTTGTATATGCCCTGATAGGAGATTGAACCCACAACCTTGGCATATCGGGGTAGGTTACTCTAACCAAATGAGCTACCTGGCCCAGGCCCAGTTTTCCTTCTTTCAGTTTACATAGCTATAATACTTTGAAAATCCTTGTTAATTTGTTGGCTGAACTAGTAGTAATCTCTCCAGTCTCCTAACATCAATCTTTTAATATTCTTTAATTCATACATGAAAAATTCATTAAACAACTTGCCTAAAATGTTTCCCATTTGAGTAGTTATATGAACCAAAGTTACCCTTAAGACCATTCCTTCCAGCTATAAAGATTTTTAAGTTTTCTACTGAGTTAATGTATTACTGTTGAAGTCTCAGATCTAAGGTAATTATGAATTCTGGCTGTATGCTTCAGAGTTATGAACAAAGGTCTAGGCCAGTGGTCGGCAAACCACGGCTCGCGAGCCACATGTGGCTCTTTGGCCCCTTGAGTGTGGCTCTTCCACAAAATACCAAGTGCGGGCACGCACGTACAGTGCGATTGAAACTCCGTGGCTCACGTGCATAAGTCGGTTTTTGGAAAGGAGATAGACGAAACAAGTATACAAGACGAGTGTGGGTGGGAGAGTTGGAAGGGGTCGACCTCAGCGAATGTACCTCAATCAGATTGAGGACGTTTTTAGCAAAGGCCAGCTTAGGAGTGCCCTAATTAAGTTAATAACAATGCGCCTACCTATATAGTTTAAGTTTAAAAAATTTGGCTCTCAAAAGAAATTTCAATCGTTGTACTGTTGATATTTGGCTCTGCTGACGAATGAGTTTGCCGACCACTGGTCTAGGCAGTTCATGAGAGTATTGTCTACAAACTCCTAAAAGGACACTAATCTTACCTAAGATGCTAGAAAAGCCAACAGTATTGTGAAAGGGTCAAGGGACAGACTCTGACAGACTGCTAACGGTATTCCTGCAAATATTCAACAGTAATTGATATTCTAAAAGCATAAAATACACGCTCATCAGTAAAAAATTAATGGAAAAGGGAATATATATATACACACAAAGCCCCCAAAACCTATAACTTTATTTTACTATTATAATAATTAGCACTACTGTTTCCAAATGGATTTTCAAATGTTTAATTAAATCTAGCAATATTTCTTTCAACTTAATTGATTAGCCCACAAGTGCCTTCTAGGAACATTCAGACACCATCAATTGTGTTTTTTGCTTAAAACCATGACTACCATAATCCTAGATTTTCCTGATTTCTACACCAATTTCAATAATCACGTCAAGTTTACAATTGTTGAGTTTTTTTCTTAAGAAACAAACAACAAAAACCACTTCCTTTTTAAGCTGCTAAAAAAAAATATTTTGTCAAGACAATATGTAAATCCTTTTTGTGACCCTGGTGCATGTACTTAACCACTGCGTACGTAAGTTTCCTCATCTATAAAAGAAGATAATAAAACCTGACTCTACCTACCACAAGAATCAACAGAGACTTTATGGAAAGAACACAACTTTAAAGTGTCATAAAACTATTATTGTACTCTTAATAAGCATAGTATCTTATCATTTCACTTTCCCTTTTAATCTACTTTTTTTCCCTTACAGGATGACAGCTGGTATTTTATGTGAAATATAAACTGTGAAACAGCGTAAGAGAATAAGAAATACTCGAACTCCTCTAAATTAACAGCATTAGAAATTTACCTATAAATCTAGCATAACAAAACAATGATAAATTTCACGTTTAATGTTAACTGCAACTCACACTTCATCTACATGTTCTCACTGCAGTGCATAAAGCAACAGAGCTATTATGCAGTCTCCCAGGAGTCATGAGTTAATAATGAGGAAAACGTTATTAAACACAAATAGGTGAAATAATACACTTCCAATGAGCAGCAGCCACAAACACTGATTTGGTTCATGTAATGAGAATCGGCATCTCCCCAGGGGCATAGGTTTACGGTAAATCTAGAAGATTTCAGTAATAAAATAGGGGAGTAATAAAATACGGAGCACATTAACCCAGAGCAACCCGGGGTAAGTGAGTTAATACACATTCTGGAAATTGTAGCCATTAGACAAGACAACAAAACAACAAAAAGAAAAAGAACCAAGAACTGAGCGTCTACTCCTAAACACATGGTTAAAAATAAACAAACAAATAAATCGACTTGCAACAAGGCAATTAGTGCACATGAGACCTCCCCCGCTATCATTTTTACAAGTCAAGCCTCCGTGTCCAGCCCCACAGTCTGCGCCTGAGGAACACGGGACGCCAGCGAGCGCGCCCGCCAGGTGGTCCCTCTTTGTTGTTGTCGATGACACAGCTTTCCGCCCGACCGTCGGCACCGAACTGCCGGCCCAGCTGCCGGCCGCAGGGCCTGGCCGTACCCACCAACACCGGGAACTGCGCTCGGGCCTTACGGCATCCGAAGCGGGTCCCCCGGGACACAGAGCCCTAAGGGGGCGCCCGGGAGGGGACGGGGGGCTGTGGCGCCGGCCCCCGGGAGGCGGGCGAGAGACGGGGCGGGGAGCTACCGGGCTGGGCCGCTCGCGCGCCTCCTCGCCTGGGGCGGAGAGGGGTGGACGGGCTCAGCGCTCGGGGGCGAGGCTGGGACGGGGCCTTCCGCCAGGGCGGTGGGGGCC